TCAGTGTTCTAGTTAGCAAGGGAGTAACTTAAATATTTGAGATATGCTTTGGTGCCACTTGCATATTACCAGAATGTCATAGAAACCTCTTTCCCATGGGTTCATCATTCCCATAACACTACTGCTGTACTGTTTAAAGGCCTACAACTACATGAGCAGCTCCATCATACATGCCTTTTACACAGAATCAGTGCCCCATCAAGACTATGGGTTTGCAAAAGTTGAGAGTCTTTGTGCAAGGACAAAACTGCTATTAAGCTGTTACATTTATTTTAGAATAATCATTTCATATTAAGTGTTTGTCAGGTAATGTTAAAGGCCAAATTGGGCTGTGCCTGGAGAGCTGCTGTTTGTCACAGTTCAAAGTCTAGCAAGATTTCCTTTGATTTTTCATTCTGCACAACCTAATTAATGCACTTCTGTTCACACTAAATCCCTACAACTCAGTCATATCTGAATAACAAGAAGGATGAAAACATAGCCCTTAAAAGCAAATAACTATGGCTTAAAATAGCTTTCTGCAGCCTGAGTACCCTCCATATATTTAGGACTACAGCTCTCAGGATTCTTGACTATTGAGTATGCTTGCTGGGTCTCATGGGAGCTGAAGACCAAAACATTGGAAGGGTACAAGACTGCAGAAGCCTGCCTTACCATCAGTTCAGGCTTGTACAACTGATGTAGTTGGCATTTGGCCCACTATACCAAGTGCAGCCTACCCATCTCACAAGAGAAATTCTCATTTTGGCATGCCACAGTCCACCTGGCAAGCCACAATTCATAACTGGAAGGCTGTGTTCAGATTGGTGAGTGACAAATTATGCAGGTTTGGCTTCCTGTAAGTTACAGGTTGCCTACACCCTAATCGTTATTTCAGGGAGTCCTTTGTATTGCTGTTCTTTGCAAGCTGCTTATAGGCAGTATTAGGAGGCCTAGGTTACTTCGTAGCAAGTAACTCCTGCAACCTGCAGTCTATATTGCTCCTCTTGATCTCCGTTTCTATTGCCTTTATCTATACCTAAATACAAACTGGGCAAGTGAAGCTGGGGAACAATTTGCACAATGGTCAGCAAGAATTACATAGGAAAGCCATTTCTCTTGCTGCTTCAAGTCTCATCTGCTGGAGGCTTCTTTCTTAACAAAAGCAGTAAAGGATAGAACTAGAATCATAATGTAACTTGAAATTGAAATTGCCAAGGAATTCTTCCAAGGCATCCCAAGAGATTTTCACACAGTTCTAAAAGGATGCCTAGCTTTACCTGAAATGTGAATATGAACAGCTAGGCAATATTTTTAATTTCAGAAGGTATTCCTGTTGCTTGCTATTTATTAGTGCAGGAACCATGGCTCAATGGCCAAGCCCATGCTTGGCATGTAGAGAGTTCAGGTTCAAACCCAAGTGTCTCCATGTAGGGCTAGAAAGGAATCCTGCCTGAACCCCTAGAGAGCCAGTGCTGCCAGTCAGTGTCAGTACTGGGTTAGATGGACCAAGGGTCTGACTCGGTATAACACAGCTTCCTGTGCTCCAAACCCCAATTTAGCAGCAACCCCACCAATACTGCAAAAGAAGCTCAAAACACCTTTCAGTATAATATGAGAATGCCCTAATTCTATCCAACTATGGTGAAATACATTTAATACTGCAATTCTATATGCAAACATCTGGGAGTAAGATCTTTTTAATTCAATGGGACTTCTGAACAAACTTGTACAAAATTTATCTCCAGTGGTTTTAGTTGTAGGGCTCGTCTGTCCATCCATCTACTAAAAGTTCTTGGTTTCATGACTCTGGTAAACAAGTAAAAAGTCCTATGCATGCAATTCTATGCATCCTTAGATTTGTATGCATGTTTCCTCATGTTGGCTGGGGAATTCTGGGAGGTGTTAAGATTTTGTTCTAAGCTTGCACAGTATCGCACTGTTTTCAACCAACAGAATTCCTGAATCACTAATGCTGTCAGGCTGAACTGTTGTAGTTTACATTCTTGGGGCCACTTCTTTGGTGCATCTAATTTTCATTAAAAAGTGCCCATAAACCTATGGGGGGTATAAGCAAATTCTTTTTTGAAAACCACAGATTTTAAAGTCTCCTTTTGCACAAAAACATAAAAACTCTATACCTATCTCACTGACACTTGGCTGGCTTCATTGCATCCAAAAGGGCAACTCTTGTCTGCAAATTTCGTTCAGTCCTGCCAAGAAATGAAGGCTGAACTTTAAGGTCTATTTACACACATACAGACACAAATGCAGCACCATTCTGTCTAAAATTTGGCAAGCTTCATTCACAAAATGGATTACTATGCCAACAAATGTCATATAATTCTATCAAAAAGCAAAAAAAAAAAAAAAAGTTTGTTGATTCCCCCTTATAGTCAGTGATGAAATATACAAAACTTCACTTCCACACACACACACACACTGCCTTGTCCTGCCACACAAAGCAATGTTCACACAGAGTTAAAACAGAGGGCATGAGAAGTAGTCTTAGATGAACTGGGCTCTTCTCAAAGTGCTGATGTAGGGTCCAAACCAATTCTTGTTTATGGGGCACATGCTTGTCCACTTGCAATGGATTCTTTTCAGTTGCTAGAATCCAAGGATATAGATGGGACTATAGAAGAGGTGAGGCCTACCGCTTGTATACTGGTTCTCTGCTCTTCCTGGTTTACAAAAGTAGTTTCAGAATGGGGGTGGGGGTGGGGGAGAAATTGGCTGAATGAGTAAAGGCTGTGCCGATTACTTCAATATGGCAAGCTGGGATTCCATCCCATAAAAGAGGAAGTGGCAAGGCCTTGTTTAACTCTCACCCCCTTAGATAATTTCCAGCCAGTCTCTCACATTCCATTCTTGGGCAGGGTGGTGGCTCCTCAGCTCCAGGGGTTTTTGCATGAGATGGATTATCTAGTTCCATTTACATCTGGCTTCAGGCCTGATTATGGGATAGAGAATACTTTGGTCACTTGGTGGTTGATTTGGAATTGGAGAGGGGGAGTGTGTCTTTGTTGGTTTTGCTGAACCTTTCTACAATGTTTGATACCATTCACCATGGTACTCTTCTGAGATGGGAGTGGGTGGCACTGTTACAGTGGCTATGGTCCTTCTTGGAGGGGCCATTTCAGTGCGTGGTATATTTATTTATTTATTTATTTATTAAAACATTTCTATGCCGCCCCTTGCCGTAGCCTCGGGGCGGCTCACAACATAATAAAATACACAATAAATTAAAACAATAACAATTAAAATATATACATTGGAATAAAATAAGCCGCCCTGGCCAAATAAAATTCAATGATATTAACATTTAAAATGCTGCTTAAATAAAAAGGTTTTCGCCTGGTGCTGAAAAACAAATAATGACGGCGCCAGGCGGACCTCTCTGGGGAGCGCATTCCATAACTTAGGCGCCACCGCTGAGAAAGCCCTCCTCCGAGTAACCACCCTCCTAATTTCCTTCACTGAGGGCTCCCGGAGGAGGGCCTCTCCTGCTGATCTCAGGGGGCGGCTGGGCATATATGGACATAAGGCAAATCCCACTAAGCACCATGGTTTGTGGTTTCCACCTGGGTTCCATCTTACTGCCTGAGCTGCTGAAGATGCTCATGAAACTGCTGCAAGAGACTGCATGGAGTTTGGGGGTTTCTGCCATTAGTATGCTATGCTACTGTCCATTTCTGTTTCTACTTTGCACCTAAATTCAAGGAAACTGTTCTGAAATCCATAAGCCGCAGCCAGCAGTGCATGCTGGCACTGGAGGTCTAGTTCAACACATCTGGAGGACTCCAGGCTAGGGAAGACTAGGCTAGTTATGAAAACTAGTCTAGATTGCTTTCGGATTTTGACAGGAATTGATCGACTGAGCATGGGCCCTCTAGCTAAATGACTCTGCTTAGTGAGTAACTTTAAAATGAAAGTGTGTCCTATTGAAACAATAAATAGTTGAAGAATTTGTATAGTTTTCTCACATCATTGAAGAAAGAAACTCTGCAAGCACTACCATAAAGCAGCATGTGTTCTTATACAGAGTTCGTGTTTAGATGCTTAAAAATGCAAGAGACTTCTGATGGTATTGTATGCATACCCTGTTTAACAGTTGCCTCCTCCAGATGTTTAGGATCACAACTCCCATAACTTGCAACCAGGGAGACTGTAGACTGAGGTAGATGGGAGTTCTAGTCCAAAACATCGGGTGGGTGCCACCTCGGGAAGGTTAGAGACACTTTTCTTTCCTGGCAGGAAAGAAGCTCAACAGGTGCGGCCTTTCCAGGTGTACGAAGATGCAGCGGTGGAGAAAGCCTCTCTTTCTTAATGTTTGGCTCTCAAGCGGCCGTCCTAGGCAAAAGATGGCAGCAGTCTAAGCTGCCTCTTGTTCCTCGGCTGACGGACCGCAGAGCCGCTCCTGTCCCACGAACCGGTGACGTCAGCGCCTGAAACCTCTGCGGGCTGCAGCCTTATTGTATCGGGCTCCCGTGCCTGCGTCTACCTGGGAGTAAGCCCCCTCGAATTGTTTGAGAAAATGCTTGCCTTCCGAGCAAACCTGCAGAGGACAGGCTTGGCGGCGGGCTCCGAGGGAGGCGGCGGGTGGGCACCTTTGCACGGGGGTGTGGCGGGGAGCGGCATGGCCGGGGGTGACTCCAATGGAGCAAACCCCGAGGAGAGGCTTGCGCACCTGGCGCTCTTTGGCCAAGCCGGCACGTCGGCAGCAGCAGCCGAAGCCCCTGCCAGCGCTGGGGGCGCGCGCCTGTCCCACACGAGGAAAAAGGCGGGGCGGTCCCTTGGCTTCCGCTCAGCTCATCCCGGGGCTGGAGTGAAGCGGGAGGCTCCCTTCCATCGTCCTCTTCGCAGAGCGACAGCGCCGCACGGAGGAGGAGGAGGGGCGGAGGAGGAGGAGTGGAGAGCGCCCGCCTCCCTCCCTGCTGAGCGCGGCGCACACGGAGCATGGAGCCCGCCTGAGCCACTCGGCGGGCAGCTGCTGCTGCGGCACAACATGGAGGCGGCGGTGCCGCCGCCGCGGCGGCTGCTGCTGCTCCTGCTCTCCGCCTTGGTGCTTCGGTGCAACTTGGGCTCCGTCAGGGGTAAGTGGAGCGGTGGCGCTCCCGGGGGCGGCAACTCCGGGAGGAGAAGAGCCTTTTGTTGTGGAGACGGAAACTTCTGTGCAACTCGCCAAAGTGGGAATGGAGGGTGGCATTCGGACGGAGGAGGCGTGTGCGAGGAGGCTGCGAGGGGGAGCGGAGCGCGGGGTCGCTGGGAAGTGGCTGGGTGGGTGAGGGGAAAGACGTGGGAGCGCCGGGGGGCTCGTAGCCGCGGGGCATGGGGCGCGGGAGAGGCGGAAGGGTTGCTGCGCGTGGGAGAGGGAAAGACCGACCCACAGCCAGATGGGGCAGGGAAGACGAAGGAAGCGCCGTGGTCGGGTCTCCCAGAAACCACAAATGCTCTTCCAAACGGGAGGACACTTCCGTGACCCCCCCTTCCAATAAACGTTGCATTTCGGAGACCTTTCGCTTTCCCTGCCAGCCAGGAAAAGACCCCTTTCGCCTTTTGTGTGCTGGGGGCGGCTGCGGCTGAGCTTCGAACTCCGCCGTGTGCCTCGAGAGCCAGACAAAAGTTCGCCTTTCCCAGCGCTTTGCGGCCCTCAGACGCAGTGATTTCCCTGGAGTCTGAAGGAGCTGGTGTCGGGTGTCGATCACAGGCTGAATCAAACTTTTGGCATCGGCTGGGGGGGGGGGGGGTTGGGGGGAAAGAGCAGATCTTCTTTCCTTTTATTTTAAAGATGTAAAGCGGGGGGGGCAGAGAGAGAGAAGCGGGGGGTGGAGAGACTTGCCTGACTTGTGAAACGTAACACTTGGCAAAACAGACTTCTGAGAAGAGTTTGTCTGTCTGGGGGCTTACCCAGACTTTAACTACAGTGAACATTTGTTCCCTTTCAGGCAGCGTTCAGACAATCACGCACATTTCCATATCAAATAGCACTAATTTTAACGTTTGGAAAGGAGTCTCTCTCCCTCCCCTTTTATACTCCTGTGTATGTGCTAGGTTTTTTTTTTGTTTTGTTTTTTTGTTTTTTGCGGTGTGGTGCGTGCATGGAGATTGAGGAAGGGGCTGGAGCTGCATTTCACTTTGGCTTCTTCTGTGTCAGCAAGGACGTGCAAAAGGCTTTCCTTTGACATTTTATAAGCTTCACGCCATGTAGTGCACGGAGCACACGTTTTGGTTGGTGCTTTTGCTGTCCTGATTTTTAAATTTTTCTTGCAGAAAAGCCTAGTTACTGTCAGAGTAGTAATATGGTGGTAATTATGAAATGATCTAGGGGCTGCCACCAAAAAGGGAGTCTGGGTTTTATTTTTCTGCTTCTCAAGTCATTGCCTACAGAAAAGTTTCAGCTTGTACATAGGAGTCTCCTGATAGCCAGGTCTGTTTCTCTTTAGCTTAGCAGTCAGCAGCAAACTGAAGTTTTGGTGCACTAATGAATGTTAATTGTTGTAATTTCCCAAGTAGCTGAAAAAATATAGCAGTGTGGCTAACAGCAGAGTATCCCCTTAGGGTAATTCCTATTAGGCCACCCACTTCTCTTGAAATATGCCATTTAATACGGGAGCTCTAACTCTTTTTTTCCAAAGTATTTTGTTCTGCTGTCAGATAGCGTTAACTGTAGGTGTACAGCAAAATCTTTAGGTCATCATAATTATAAATGTGAAAAGCCTTTTTGCACTCCTGACCATTACATCTTTACTTTGAATTAATGTTCCCATAGTTTGTTACAGTGTCAAGGTAACCCAGTATTTTTAAAAACTTTTGATATTCCTAGTGGCTTCACTCTTTGAAGCATAATGCAATGGATCTACTAGGGCTGCTGTTAGAAATTTTGAGCCCCAAACAGGAGTTGATTTGATACTTGGTGGCTGTCACATTTAAATATACCTAGCTATGATAATCAAACTGTCTGCATTTACTATGACCAGATGCTAAGAACAAAACGAAAAAACTGCTGTGTACCTGTGAAATTGGTTTGCAGTAATATATAAAACAGTACAAAATTTACTATTACAATATTTTAACTGATGTGATTTCTGATTATTCAAATAGGAAACTTCCATTTTAAAAGTTCATGGTCAAAAATAAAATAAAGTAACTGCAATCAACGTTTGGAACTTAGTATAGCCTTTAATAAGTTCTCTAGGAAATTGAAGTCACATTTAAGTTAAAACAAGAGTGGTATAACAAATTTTCTCTGGAAAGTGTTTGGCATAACAACAGCCTGTATTCTTGAACTCCTTTTGTCTTTTGCTTTTCAAAATTAACATTTGGTTAATTGCATCATATTTCTAGTTAGTTTCCTTTCTCTGGGTAGTTGTTGGTTTAGCTTGCTTGTTTCTGGTTGCTTATCACAGAGTGGGTACAGACCACAGTTTCTCATGCTCCATGTTTGCATCTACAGCACAAAACCACAGTGTATAAAGGTCTTGAGGAAGAAGTATAGGATTATCTTATCCAGATCTTGCCCATTATTATAGGGTGTCAGCCATGCAGTCTGCACATCCCACAGCAGTCTCTATTTCTTATTTGGACCAGCAGGAGAGCAGTGTTTGGACTTCTGGAAGTTAAAAGTGCTGATACTGTGTTCCATGTGAGTGCCATGTGGACTTTTTGATAATGTAGAATTACCCCAAAACATTGTTCCCTAAAAGTTAAGTACGTGAGCTCAAAGTACTTTGTTCTTCATTCTTCCTGTTTTACCAGTGGTATACATTGTTCAATGCCAGAACTGTCTGTAAACTGTGATCCCTCTCCCCACAAAATTGGACTGCTACATTGAAGTTTTTTCCAAAAAGCAGCCTGCATATAGGTAGTTTTTGCAGGAAATACCACATTGTGTTGCTTATTCTGTTCATACATGAGACAGCAGTGTTCACTCAGGGGAAAAGATGTGGAAAATCCACACATTAGCCTTATATCCTGGAGTCAAGTGCATTCTATTCAGTAAAGTTTTCTTGGAACTGTAGAGCTGGGAGATCTTGTAGATCATCTTGTTCAACTGATGGCTAATGCAGAACGTAGCTAAAGCATCCCTGACAGATGGCTGCCCAGCCTCTGCTGAAATAGCTTCAGCCAAGGAGAACTCATCACTTCCTGAAAGTTTGTTCCATTGCTTCTCATTGCTACATTGTTTCTCTTAGAGTTTAGCTGAAATTGGCTTTCCTTAATTTTCACCTATTTGTATTCCTGCCCTCTGAAGCAATATGGAACAAGTCTTTACCATCTTTTGCTGAAATTCATTTATCTGAAAACCATATTCATGTTTTCACTTTTCTCCAGGAAAATAATCCCTAGTTCTTTCTACTCTTTCTCATAGGACTAGGTTTCCAGACACTCTCAACAATCTGTTTGCTCTTCTCTGGATGTGAACCAGTTTCTCAGTGTTTCTAAAATGTAGTTCTCACAACTGAACATAGCACTCTTAATGCAGCCTGATTAATATAGAATAGAGTTGAACTGTTAACGTCATATGGATTGAATACTTGGATGTCCTGAGTCTATTAATGCAGTGTAAGACTGTATTCACCTTTTTTTTTTTAACGCAGTCATAGCTCACTGCTAGATTAAATTCAGCTTGTGATCCACTAAGAGCCAGAGTGATGTAGGGGTTAGAGTGTTGGGCTGCGACTCAGGAGATCTGGGTTCTAATCTCCACTTGGCCATGAAGTCACCAGGTGACTTTAAGCCAGTCACTGACTCTCAGCCTAGCCTACCTCACAGCACAGTTATGAGAATGAAAAGGAGAGAAGGAGGGTTATATAAGCTGTCTTGGGAGGAGAGAAGGAAGGTTGTGTTAGATGCCTTGGGTTCCTTTCAGGAAAAAGGTGGGATATAAATATAGTACAATACTAAGACAACTCTTTTTTTTTTAACATCTGCTGCTGCCAAGCCATCTCTCTCTAATCCTATACTTGTTCCTTTGACATTGGGTTGTATCCAGTGCTTTTTTTGTACTGGTGTTACGTAAGTTTCAGATTTCATGAGCATCTCCTCAATATCCTCATCCAGGTAATTTGTAAAAAACATTCAACAGTCCGGGGCCATGGACAGAGACTGTGGCACTTTCCTCAGTTTTTCTGTTCAAGAGGATGTTGAGCCATTAATGAGCTCACATTGTGTACAGTTCAACTGGTCGTGGATTCACCTAACAGTAGTAGCATCCAACCCACCTTTTACCATATTGTCAACAAAAATATAATGGGAAACCTTATCTGATACTTTACTGAAGGTATACTATGTCTGCAGCATTCCTGTGATCTACCAAACTGAAAACTCTGAAAAAGTAGACGAACTTGATCTGACATGGCTTATTTCTAACAGAACTATGTTGGCATCAAGTAATTCATGCATTAGCTCTGCAAATTCCAAGGCTGAAGCTTAATACTCTGTTCTAGAATTTGGCCCAGTATTGACATCAGTCTGGCTAGTCTATAGCTTCCTGGATCCACCTTTTCCCCCTTCTTGAAAATGGACAAGATTTGTGCCTCCATTCTTTCAGCACCTGTTCTCTTGAAATTCTTAAAGATTACAAACCAATGTAACCTGATGGAATATCAATAGCTCTTTTCACATTCAGGAATGTAATTCCTCTGGAGATCTGAATTCATCTAAAGTAGTAAGGTGTTCTCTAAGCATTTCCTTGCCTACCCTGGGATGAAAGTTACTCCCTATATCATGTGATCTAGTTGTTGCAGGTTCAACAGAACTGCTGTGTGGGAGAAGACTGAAACCAAGTTGGAGTTAAATAGTTCTGTCTTCTTTCCATCATCTATTAAATGTTCACCTTCTTCCCTAAGCATTAAACCTATCCTTTTCTTGACCTTTTTATTTTATTTTTTTCCATATCCAAACAAGTTATTTGTTTTAGCATCCCTCAGAAGCCTCAGCACTCTGGGCCTTAGACTTCCTGTTGCCATCCTTACAAGTTTGGTCTACTTTGTTGTACACATCCTTGGATATGTTTCCCCTTCCACCCTTTATACATTTTCCTTTTGAGCCCCATGCTATCAGATAGCTCCATGTACAGCTATTCTGGCATATG